TATGGATTTTGGGGGGGAGGGGCGCCCACGTATTTAAAAAAAAAAAATCTTTAATTGCCAGGCAATACCAGCAATTCTTTTTACAACTGAAACAATAAGAATGTGTTTAGTAGCTGTGCGGTATCTTATCGCATACTCAGAAGTAGTAAGATCCCGCTTAGTGAATTGTCCCCTCTGTTCGAAGTTCACGGTCAAACTTTCGTTATGTTCAAATGTTCTACTGCGAACCATACAGGAGTGTTCAGCCCACCACTACTAAAAATGTATCCATATTGGAAAAATTTCATTTAACTTCTTGTCCTGGTAGGATATATGAGGGATTCTTCCCAACAAAGAGAGGGAGACTGCAATAAAATCCTGACCGAGGCTCTAACCTTTCTTTGTTGTGTCCCAAACAAAATGAAATATTTTGGCTGGAGTTGTGTTTTAGAAAACTTTCATTTGCAATCCGTCACTTGGTAATTCAGCTTTCACTTACTTTTTAGACTATATGTTAGACAGCAGATGGAATGAGAGAACTTTCCAATTAAACGCAATAACAAATAATACTTTGAAGCCTTTAACTTCTTGTGACCCTTGTGATTTTTGGAACCATTTGTGAAAGTCAAAATTGTTTTAACAGATTATATTTGCAATGTCTGGATGACCTTTCGCTCGGAGCATTGCTTTGAAAATCTCTGACAGAAGCACACCCTGGCAAACGTGCAGATTCTGAAAATGAAATATTTTTCAAAGAGGAGAATGTGTGCTACATAGCTGGGCAAGTTATAATAAACATCTTCAATACAGTTTCCATATTAGTACATTGTATCACATCAAACATCAGTCAGCAAAGGATACTTTCTCATCTGCACACTTCATGTATCAAGCGCAATAGTAAACTGCCAACAATGGTCTCAGCTGTTCTCAAGCTCACAAAATACAAAGTGGGAAAGACCTATCGCATTTGTTATTAATATGTTATTTGTTAGAAGAGTTTTTTATTTAATCTTCCTTACAGCTTAACCACTTGCCTACCAGGCACTTATACCCTCTTCCTGCCCAGGCCAATTTTCAGTTTTCAGCGCAGTTGTATTTTGAATGACAATTGCGTGGACATGCAATATTGTACCCATATGAAATTTTTATAATTTGTTTTCACACAAATAGAGCTTTCTTTTGGTGGTATTTAATTGCCAGTGGGTGTTTTATTTTTTGCATTATAAACAAAAAAAGAGCCACAAATTTAAAGAAAAAAGTTTTCTTTGTTTCTATTATAAAATTTTGCAAACAGGTAATTTTTCTCCTTCATTGATATGTGTTGATGAGGCTGCACTGATAGGCAGCACTGATGGGTACTGATAGGCAGAACTGTTGGGCACTGATGAGGCGGTACTGATGAGGGATGAGGCGGTACTGATGAGGTGGCACTGATGATGCTGCACTGATATGCAGCAATGATGGGCACTGATAGTTGGCACTGATGGGCACTTATAGGTGGCACTGATAGGCAGCACTGATGGGTACTGGTGGGTGGCACTGGTGGGCGGAACTGCTGGGCACTGATCATCACTGCCCTGATGATCAGTGCCGATATGTTCTCTGACAATTGCCAGTTATCGGCAGTACTTTCCTCATGGGGAAAGTGCATCTGATAACTGGCAACTGTATTTACCTGGTGATCTGCTGTGTCATTGGACACAGCTGATTGTGCCAATCTAAAACTGTGTTGTCACGTACGTAACAATGCCACGCCCAGCTGCATCCCTGCACAAAGATTTTCCAGCTATTGGACCACAATCTGTGTACTTGCAGCCTGGGAGCGATTGTTACTGGTTCAGGTTAATTACGCAATTAACCCTTCACACTGCCACCACCTCCTTTTTGTACAGAGAAAGAGGAAACTCGGCAATATCAGCAATAACACTATGATGTTTGAATAATCATTTGTATACACAGAGTCACCGCAGACAGATGTATGCAGACGTTTAAACACACACAGTAGCGCTCTTCAGAGACAGGGGGTTCTTAGTTTGCATTAAAGAGCTTTAGAAACAGTTCAACACTTTCAGAAAGTAAGATTTATTACTAAAAGGTCAAAAGGGTGCAATAAAATATTTTACAGAAAAAAGATGTAGCCAATATGTATATATAAATATAAATATACAAAGAGCAATAACACAGCAAAGAGATAACAGAAAGGAATTTAGATAGATAAAGTACTTGCCAAAAGCCCTGGTTTAAGCAGATCAAGTTTCCTGAGCCAAAAGGGTGCCTTTTCTCCCAAAGTTAGTTCCGATGTTAAAAGGGAGAATCTTCAACTTAGCTCAACTCAGCTTAGCTTGCTTCAAGCATAACAGCCTTTTTCTAGGAACTCAGCAGGGTGTCTCCTTAAAGCAGAGAACCAATCGCCTCATTTGGGGAGGGGTGTTGTAGGCGGGGAGCTCAGGCTATGACCAAATCCCTCCCAAATTATACTATGGTCAATAACGTTTCCTAGGTACATGTAACATTCTATCCACGGGTAGATTAATAGGCAGAATCATCTGCTGAACGTCTAGATATGAAATATAACATACCTGCTGGGATGGTTAAGGAGATATCATTTTCTGCTCTCCTGTTTGTGTCAGCTAAGGGGTGTAATATATCAGACAACTTGTATTAAAGTGACTGGTCTGAATATATGCCTGTTTTTTATGTAAATCTTTCATATTTCAAGATATGTAATCATAGGGGAAAATGGTTGTTGAATGTGATGTCTGGTTTACGACTACCTGGAATGTCTTTGAGCTCAGTGAAGGACTTGGTTTATTGTTTTACGATCCTATGCAAGCAGAGTCTCCCAGACATATGGGGGCCAGGCTAACTGGGGTTTATAGCCATGAGCTCTCCCGCTGGGCCTTGATGCCTTTTTGAACTCAGCATCCAGGGACCACGTGTCACTCAACAGAGAGGGAGGGGGGATGAGGGAAGCTGATTTGGGAGTAGAGAATGATAGAAGATGGAGGCCTTTGCCAAAATGGAGGTTTGCATCCATCTCTGTGTGCATGACTGATCACGTGGTAAAAGGCCACTGTGATTGACCTTTTACAACATCATGTGATCAGCTGTGTCCATAGGACACACAGCGTTCATGGAGATCGTCGGGTGCTCGCCGCTGGGCCCTAACAGAACTGGACAACTGTGCTGTAGCCGTCATTCGGCTTCAGCGTGGTTGCCAAGTGGTTAAAGTATATTCAAACATGAAACCAAAATGTAATATATTGCAGCTTACTAGTCTTTGCTATTGTAGTTGCATTGGTTTTCTGTTTTCAAGCTTCTTTTGCTTTATTTTGCCCCCATAATCCTGCAAATAACACTTTTACTGTTTCTGGGTGGCTAGATTGCTACTCGACTGTATCAATGGAGGAAGCTATGGTTGTCACCCTAGGCTGCTCTCCTCATATGTACTACATGTCCATATCTCTTCATCTCCATTATATGGGAGGCATGGCAATTGGTTAGTTACAGAAGGTAGTTAAAGCAGTAGTAAATTACCGAAAAAACGAAACAAAAAGATTTTCCCCTGCAAAATAATAAAGATAAATAAAGATAATAAACATAAAGTGCTAGTATGCATCATATACTAGCACATTATGAAAGACTTACCTTAGAATTAAGCCCTCCAGCGGCATTATGTCATCGCTGGCATCATCTTCACTGGTCTTCAATTCGGGTTCACAGATATGGCTGTTTGATTGGTCTAGCTGCAATGAATTCACTCCTGCTCATGTGCGCTGGAGTCTTGGCTATGGCACAGAGCTCTGAAGGAACTGCACGGGTATGCCGTTCCTTCAGAGAGCATGTGCCAGAGACATCAGGAGCTGCAGGGACACTGAATATCACCTAAACGGTGCATGTTTAGGAGATATTTCTTGCACCTACAGGTAAGTTTTATTATAATCTTACCTGTAGGTACAAGTGTCCATTGGGAGTTTACTTCCACTTTAAGGATGGAAGGAAGGAAGATATTCCTCAGTGCAGCTCACAGGAAGTGACAATGACACAGCATTTCTGGCAGGATCCACAGACATTTTCTGTATTTTCTTAAAAATGCTGTTTGCTTAAAAAAATTAAGAAAACTAATGCACCCACCACAACTGGGACTGTAAGTTGTAATATATTACAATTTTGCTCTTGGGTTTAGTTTTCCTTTTGTGGGCTCCTAAGGGTAAAAATCATGTAATTACTAAATATGAATAAGCAAAATAAAGAGTTTTTTCTTTAAATTACATTTCAGACTAATCAATTCACCTTAAATGTCACCATTTACCTAAATGCATTAGGGCAACAGTGAAGGCAAAATTAAGTTAGATTTGTAAGGGTGTAATGATCTTTAAATGGATCGTGAAGGTTTCTGGAACCTCATATAAACTTTTTTAATTTCCTTTATGTATTTGTTTTACAACAACCTTTAAGAAATTGAATTCCTTCTAGAAGCCCACTGCAGCTGTATCACTTAGAAATAAAATACAGCTGCAATGTCACTGACATGGCTTTGTTTATTAATATTCTAAGATTTCTTTTCAAAGAAGTGTTATAAGTTTATGCATAAAAACCAAGCAACTTTCTGAATTTAGAAGCTGATTGGCTACAATCCACAGCTGCACCAGATTTTGCACTCTCCAGTTTTAGTAAATCATCCCCTTAGACTAGTTGAACCAATTGCAAGGGAAGAAGCAGAGCAAGTGTACAAGAAGGGGAAGAGACCAGATATAAACAGCTTCACTGCTAGTATTGTTAAATTTAATGATGAATTTCTTCATAGTGTTTGCAGCTACAGGGGAAAGTATGGGCTTGCATTTCAGCTCATTTCCTGCTTGTATGTGTGTAAACATTTGAATGTCTTGCCAAAGTTCAACTTTAGTGAAAATACATAGCTCTTCTCTGCTGCAGCACGAGTACAATTACACAAGTGTATTTTCAGGTAAAAGAACAGGGAGTTTTGGTAGAGAGACATTTTCATTGAATATGCCAGTGGGCAGGGGCGGACTGACCATTTGGAAACTCGGGCACTGCCCAAGGGCCTGGGGTCAGTAGGGGGCCCCATGAGATGCCCCTGGTACCTTTTTCATAGGCTTTTTTTAGTTTGGGCAAGGACACAGGGGCCCCATGGTCCCCTATTGCCCGGGGCCCCATGAGTTGTCAGTCCGCCCCTGCCAGTGGGTGATTTGTTTTTCTCACTAATATGCATCCACCAAAATTTTTAATATTATCTATAAATGGTCGACCCAGTAGCATATTATGGTGTAAGGTATGATTACTCTTTAATAAACAAGTGAGATGAAGCAAAGTCCAGGTCATTGGTCGCAAAGATATGTGAAGTTGCTTGATCTCTGCAATGGATTTATAATTTTCCCACTCAGAAAAAGATTACAACATGCTTAGCTATGAAAAAGTATTGCAAATGTCTTGCCTGCGTAATATAAAATGTTGCAGTATCAAGTCATTTTGAGATATTTTGTATTCCACCAGATACAGGTGATGTTCTGGTCAAGGAACAGTTCTGAAGCCATACAAATCTCTCTCTATAAAATGTTTTACTTGCTTATATTGGCACTTGGAAGACTCACCCATACGAGTGATGTGAATTGTTCTAGAGGAAAGTAATTTTGAGTGCTGCAGGGACTAGATTTATCATTGTCAAGGGGCTTAATTGCCTTCGTATGGTAAGCTTTTCTCCTTCTATCCTCATATAGAGTGGCTTATTCAGTAAATGTGTTTCTCACAGTTTTTGATATGTAAAATGAAGTAAGCCATTACAAATAATGCAAATTTCAGGGATTTGTCTTCAGATAAGTAAAAGGATGAAATCTGATTGGCTGTAATGGGTTTCTGGACTAACTTATTGATTAATCCAAATAAAAGCAATTGTATTTATCAGTTGTGTTGTACGAAATGGCTTCTAGCAGGAGTTCACTTTTAAAGCTGAGAACATTTTTTAAGAACCCCTTTCATGGTTACGACTGGAGGAAGAATAAGGGATTAAAGGTACATACCAGTCAACATTAAAATGAAGCCTTAAAATACAAACAGGAGACAAAGCTTCCAATGAGGGAATTGTTTTTCTTATCAGTTGTTTTAATATCCATATCACTAAATATAGGATAATTGTATTTCTTGTAATCTCAAATGAGTGAATTAGTGAACTGAACTCCTCAGAAGACTTAAAAGGCAAGCCCTATTATCCATTTCAATATTCAATTCACCTGGCATAATGATAAAAAGGAAAAAAAATATTCTAAGGCCCACTCACTGCTTAATGCTGAAAAAATTGCCAGCATGCCCCCTACAGAAACTTTGCCATTAAGCCATTCACCCATCTGTTAATGGATCTAATGGATAAACTGCTTTTGGATTGGAGGAGGATATTTAGCAAGAATTAGGGATGCACCGATAACGATACCAGTATTAGTATCGGTGCCGATACTGAGTATTTTCATGAGTACTCATACTCCTGAAAATGCTCCCGACACCAGAAACCGATATTTGTACTGCAATTTGCAGCAATACAAATTGCACCGCAAAGATTAGCATGCAATTTGAACAAAAATGCAATTCCTATCCAAATCACATGCGGTTTCCCTACTGCACCTGTGTGAACCCAGGCTTGTCATAGCCTGAGTTAACAGAGGAACGGTGCGGTAAACCTCCCTGTAGGGATCCCGTGCAGGGTGTGGAGAATGGGCATTTGCAATATGGAGGCAGATGCTCCATATTCTAAGTGGTAATAGAGGAGAGAAAGCGGCAGGGATTTGATATCCTCTCTGCTTTCTTTCCTCTCCTTGTAGGGATAACAGTTTGTACTAGACAGCTTTTTGATTGGTCAGCACCATCACATCGATGGTGCTGACCAATCAGATGCTGTCTAGCTCATACTCAGGGGTGGACTGACAACTCATGGGGCCCCCAGGCAATAGAGGATCATGGGGCTCCTGTGTCCGTGCCCACACCCAAAAAAGCCTATGAATAAGCCAATGAAAGGTACCAGGGGCATCTCATGGGGCCCCATACTGACCCCAGGCCCACGGGCAGTGCACAAGTGCTCGAATGGTCAGTCCGCCCCTGCTTGTACTATCATCGCTGCAAGGAGAGGAGAAAAAGCCACTTCACAGTTCTGGGAATTTTAAATCCTCACCGCTTTCTTTCCTCTACTTGCAGCGATGACCAATCAAAAGCCCTCTAGCCAGAACTGTTAACCCTGCAAGGAGAGAAGAGAAAGCGCAGGGATTTCAGATTCTGACTGCTTTCTCTCCTCTCCTACTACTGAGAATATGGAGCATCTACCTCCATAGTATACATCCCCATGCTCCCACTCTCTGCTGTGGGAAACCTCCCTGCACCGTTCCTGTGTGAACTCAGGCATTAACACCCTGGGTTCACACAGGAGCAGTGCGCAAACCGCATGTGATTTGGACAGGATTCACTTTCCTGTTCAAATAGCATGCAATTATTTGTGATGTAATTTGCATCCATGCATTTTGTATAGATGCAAATCGCACCGCAAAGTATCGTTAATTGGTATTGGTGAGTACTTGACCAAAAGTATCGGTACTCACACTTGCCGATAAAAAATAGTATCAGTGCATCCCTAGCAAGAATTCTTGTCCCATATATATAATTAGCCTAATATTAAAATAGCATACTTCTTTATTAGACATCATCCCACTTTATGGTATTAAGGGGTCAAGAATTCTGGCCCATGACCCACGGCAATGATAAAAGTAGAATTCTACCAGGTGACGTTAGATCACCCAGGGGATGGAAAGCCCATGTTTTCTTGAAGTGTGACCTTCCTGTTTGAGGGGACCTGTGGGCAAACACTGCAGTATGGAGGTGAACTGATAAGTCATCCAATCAGTGTCACATGTAGGTTTGGGAATAGCTGAGTCCTTTGGGCTTTCAAATTCAGAAAATCAACACTTGACATGGATTTTGGTGGCAGGCTGAGTAGGCTGAGTATAATCTGCTTGACTTCTATAAAGAAAAGCTATTTACTTCGCCTAGTATGACGGTAACAGGAAAAAGAGTCAGCTGCACACTGGAGGATTGATGTATATAGTGTATATTTATTAATCCATAGGACACACAAAACACCAGGACATGAATACAGGACCTGTTAACGCATTTCACACGATCTCGTGCATAATGATTAAGCTATATTATATTCATCTATCCTCTGGTGTGCGGCTGACCCTTCTTCCTGTTGCATCGTGTGTGGTGGCGATCCAGAACCTACACCTGTTGTGGATTGATCTGGATAGTGTGATGAGCGGCATACCTCTGTTCTTTAGTATGAAGGTAGTAAGGGTTCACTTGAAATGCTAAAACATTTCGAAAAAGAGTATTGTATAAATCTATTCATAAACGAATAAGATGACCTTTAAACCTATGTGTGACTCTTACAAATCAAGTCTTCACAGCACACACAGTAACACATGCACACAGTTGCATGAATATTTGTTCTTTGCATGCTAAATAACACGTTACTAAAAATATCACTGAACAGAAGTTACATTTAGCTGAGCACATGAGAACAACAAATGCTGAATAACACAAATAAATGCTGCCATATGAAAGAGAAGCTAGACATTCTAAAGCCGCAAACATTCATTTCTTCTCAGCGAGCAGCTGGAAACCCCAGTAGAATTCATCCTTGTTCCCACACAGTTCCTTTCCATATAAATACAACAAACTGGCACTTTCCCACCAACTTTAAATGACAAATATGCAAGTGGAAGAGGAAGTGAGTAAATACCATTGTATATATGTAATCTACTCAATGGGAAATACTACAAGTTGAAGGAAATGGAAGTTGACTCATGTTAACACATTGGCAGTAATTCCTCTCTGAGTTAATGGAATGCAGGTGACTAGGCCTGGATTTGCAAATATACAGCTCAGATCATGGTCTCAGGGGGCAAGATTTCATGAGGATGGAAGGAAACTTCTAGTGACACTATCTTCACAAATGGCATTCCTTCATAAACAAGGTAATACAAAATAGGATTTTTTTGGGGGGGTTTTAAATATATTTTGTTTTTAAGGATTACTTCCAGCTTAACACTCATTCTTTCACAGTTGTGCAGGCTCCTTTCCTGTGTCTCATCTCACAATGCGCATTCAAAGCTTCAGCAGGTCATACAGAGTCTGCCTTATTTTCTGGATAGAGGATGTTCTGCATTATCTAGCATTTTACTTCCCAAACTTGCTGTCCCTAGTCTGCCCCTTTCATTCATTGGATTTAAGTTCTTACAAACATGGAGGCTCAATATTTATCTAGGGCAATTTGCATGTTAATGCACCTGCCTAGAAATACTCACTCATCCAGACTGACATCCACCCATGAAGGCATTTTCATATTTACATAGATCCTCCCAAGAACCAGCCCAATGCTTTCATCAGGACTGAGGTAAGGTTGCATCAATCCCTCGTACCAGAGTCTTCCATCCTCCAATCCATGGGCACTCCTTTTCGCTGCTTCTCATCATTCTCTTACTAAACCCTAGAATCTCCTGCTCCTGACAGGGAGAGGGGTGTGTGTAGCAATCGTGCACACAGAGATGGACGCGGTCCTCCATTTTGTTAAGAACCCTTCCATGTTGTATCATCTCTCTCCCTCCAAAAGCAGGCTTTCTCCTCCAATCATCCCCCCTCCCTCTCTGTTGAGTGACATGTGGTCTGGGTGATGACAGAGGTCACAGGCAGTTAAGGCACAGCAGGAGAGCTCCAGAGCTATAGAACCCCCAACGGAGCTGGAGCCTAGCTGTCTGTTAGCTGTGCAATCTGGGATATAGTAAAAGTGTAAACCAAGTCCCTCACTGAACTTTAAAAGACCTTCCAAGGGGTCATAAAAACAGACTTACATTTAAAAACTCACTTTTTCATATAAGTTGATATCTTCACATAGGATGTAATTACATAAACATGGAGCACCTATTTGGATGGCTCACTTTAATACAAATTGTTTGGTATATTACATCCCCTAGCTGAGATCAACAGGAGAGAAGAAAATAATATCTCCTTAACCATCCCAGCAGATATGTCTTATTTCATATGTAGACATTCAGCAGATGATTCTGCGTATTAATCTAACCGTGTGTGGCATGATACATGTACCTAGGAAAAGTTATAGGCCATAATAAAAGCTAGGAGGGATATTTGTTCTAGCTTGGGTCTCCGCCCCAACACCCCTCCCCAAATGAGGCGATTGGTTCTCTGCTGTAAGGAGACACCCTGCTGAGATCCTAGAAAAAGGATATTATGCTTGAAGCTGAGGTGTGTGAAGAGTTGAAGATGCTATTGTTCTCTGTATATTTATATATATATATATATATATATATATATATATTGGCTTTTTCTGTAAATATTTTTATTGCACCCTTTTGACCTTTTAGTAATAAATCTTACTTTCTGAAAGTGTTGAACTGTTTCTAAAGCTCTTTAATGCAAATTACGAATCCCTGCCGCTGAAGAGTGCTACTGTGTGTGTTTAACTTTGGTATATCTCTGCCTGCGGTGACAGTGGTATACCGACAATAATTCAAACATCATAGTGTTATTGCTAATATTGCTGAGTTTCCTATTTTCTGTACAAAAAGGAGGTGGTGGCAGTGTGAAGGGTTAATTGTGTAATTAACCTGACCCAGTAACAATCGCTCTCAGGCTGCCGATACATCGATTGTGGTCCATTAGCTAGAAAATCTTTGTGCAGGGTGCAGCTGGGAATGGCATTATTACGCACATGACATTTTTAAATTGGCTAGTCCTTTGGTCACGAGAGAAGGGCTGGGGTCTGACACCACGATCGTCACATATTGGCTGGCAGCGTATGTGGGATAGTTTGCGTTAGAGCTTCACTGCATTGTTAGGAATTAGCTCTGCACTGAAGGATTGTAACCTTTGTGGAAACAGTCCTTAGAAACAAGCGGTGCATATTTTTATATATATATATATATATATATATATATATATATATGTATATATATATATAGAGAGAGAGAGAAAGAGAGACATATAGCAACAGCTCCTTCCTTTTTCTATCTACTATTCTATCTTTGCTTGCATTATGCCTGGTGACACAGAATACTACAGGAAAATGAGCAAAAGTGATTTGAGTGCTAATTGTACCTCACGAGGAATGGACGTCGGTCGCAAAACTTTTGAAGATTTGATTCGTGACCTACAAGAGCATGATAGCTGAGCAGATCAGAACCTGGGGGAACTTGACCATGACGGGGTTCCCGCTACATACGTTCCCAGTGGCTCAGAGATGGCCTTGCAGGATGGGCATACAGAGACTGGCACTGGAGGATCACTGAATGTTATCGTCACACCACCGCCCAAAACAGGCCATCACCGGAGTGCCTGTAACCAGCAGAGACTCTCCTCAGATGCAGGAAGCCCTGAAATGCATCATGGAGACAGATCCTATGGCATATTTGCAGCTCCTTGACCGCCAGGCTGAGAGAGCGGAACGCCAGGCAGCGGCTGAAAGAGAGGCTGTGCAGAGGCAAGCTGATCATCGGCACGAACTGGAGATGGTGAGGCTCCAGCAGCGACAGATTCAGAACCTCAGGTCCTTAGAGCACAGGGACGCCTCTCTGACCATGGGCACAGCAGCCAAGGTTACAGTGATGGAAAAAGATAGTGACATTGACACGTATTTACTGTCATTTGAAAAAATGTGCCATCAGTACCATCTGCCCCAAGCTCAATGGGCTCGGTACCTGACACCAGGGCTACAAGGCAAGGCCCTGGATGCGTTTGTCGAATTGCCAGAGGGGCAGGACGACAATTACGAAGCTCTAAAAGATGCCATCATCCGGAAGTACTAGATGACCCCGGAAGTATACCACAAGCGGTTTAGGTCATTGCAAAAGGGACCAGGGGACTCTTACACGGATGTGGCGAGTTGCCTACGCACCACATTCCGGCAATGGACTAAAGGACTGAAAGCTGACTCCTACGAGTCTTTAGAGGATCTCATGATACGAGATCAGCTCCTGCATATCTGCCCGGCAGATGTCAGACAGTTTGTCTTAGAAAGAGAACCAGCCTCTGCTAAAGCTGCAGCCGATCTGGCAGATACCTATGTCCACACGCGGGTGTCTGACCACC